GATCTCTACCGAAGAAGATTAATTACTTGCATTCTCTATTATACTCAAATGTATATTGTAATACTGGTGAAATTACACTTCAAGAAACTTGGCTCCACGATTCATATGGCGAAAATTTAGTGGTTTCACATTGTACAGACAAGACCGATGCAGCTCGAACAAGAAGAGAGAGGGTAGTGTTGCCACTTTTATTAATTCTCAGTAGTCTACTGCCAACAACATCTGCTTCAAATTCTCAAATGACAATATTGACTGTATGACTGTTAAATGTCGACCTAAACACTTATCTCAGTATAACTTCATTTTTGTCACAAATATCTATGTCACACCCTGTTGCAGTCCCTCAGAACTATTGATGTTCGCTGATGAATTCACTATTTTTGCTGCTGCTTCGTTTGGTAACTCCTTGTCTGTAGTGACTGGTAACTTCAACTCCTGCGACTGCAGTTTTATAACGTTACTGGGCCATGAAAATCTTTGTTAACTTGCCAACTCGAGGGTAAGTGGTGTCGATAGGCACTTGACTTCGTGCAATAAATTCGCTAAAGGGATTTTGTCTGACTTGCAGCATCCACTTTACCTTCAGCTTTCGCCTTGCAAGGTGAACACCTCAGGTAGAACAAGAAGTAACTTCAGAAAACTGTATGCTCGCACGTCTAAGTATAAAAATTCTATGATACCATACTTCGCACGTATTTTATGTGATGAAAATGGTGTAGGGCAAGAATTAACTGGCCTTTTTCATCTAGTAAATAAATAATTTCCTCCATCCATCCATCCTTATATACCTTCACGTTTTACTTTTATTATTTCTATTATATTTATGGTCCTGTTGCTTCTTTGTTTGTTTTACTTTCACAATTGCAATCACCAACTTGTCTCTATGACTGCTGTAATCTTTGTTTTTCCCCTCACCATCATCATCATGTAAAGAGAACGTTATATTCAGTATTCTTAAACATCCTAGGAATTCTATACCGCATTGACAATACTGTGTGAAACAAGCCCACGGCAATTTTCACTTGTATTCTTTTTATTATTACCCCAGCTGTTATCATTATTATTATTTCCATTTTATATGCTGCATGTTGTTGACATTACCTCTATTGTAAATGTGGAAAATATTTCTGTGTGATTAATTTTATTTATAATTTGGGGAAATCAGATGCAATAATATTGTGATGAATGCTGAAAATTCCAATCCGTATCACAAGTACTGTTTTTGGAATAAAGTAAATTATTATTATCAAAAAAAAGATATCGGCAATTATTTTCTCTGTACGAAAAGTGTGCTGACTGCACTATAGTCAGTTGTGATAATGCGGACTAAATGATGTCACACAAGGTCTTACTAGGCGTTACCCAACCATAAAATCGACTATTGAGGTGGAATCCGGATAAACAATTTCCTCCCTGGGTATTCGGTTGACAAACTTCTTCAGTTGGGCTCAGATAAATCTCGAAATGAACATGATGTGGAGAATCTGCGGTCTGTAATCATCAGATCGTTGTTTTGTGGAGGCCAGTGACTGGAATTGAATTGTTCCGAAGTTTTATGGGAGGGGGATATATAAAACCTGGATCCATTGGGAGAAATATCACCACTTCGACGAAGAAAATGTCATACATGAATACAACATTCAAAGGCAACCTGACTAACACTGAGTTGGAGGATATCAAACACTGAGATGGAGATTCTTTGCATCTAGGCTGAGACTGTTACTATCTTGTCTTCTAATGTTCTATAATAATTCAAAGAAGATAAACTATTACATCTGACCACTTCTGTATCTATCTACCAACCTATATGTCCCGGTAGAGCAGGACATATAGATCGTTCAATGCAAGTTCTGTCTAGTTCTGTGCGTCGGTGGCACAGTGTTTAGGACTGTCGCCGACCATGCACCTGGTCCGAAGTACAATCCCCTGCCGACTCACACCCCATATCTATATTCGGCCTGCAAAATTTGGGCTACCAATATCACATGCTGAAAATTCCATACCTGTACCAACAAAAATGCGGTGTGGAATCAAGCTGTAAGCAAAATAAATAATCAATAAAAAATATCCCTCCTGACTACAAAGACGTTGTGGAAAGTCAGGACAAAGAGACATAATTGATCACATTTTCAGCACTGACCACTAAACCTTTATGGGAAATTCAGATAAATATCACTGTGTTCTGCTGTGATAACTGGTGTCACTGTCCTTTAATGAGATGAAAGTGTTGTGCCTCAGGTGTTTTAAGAGTTCAGTGTGAAGATGTTTCAGAAGGACTTCGAAGTTGTCATGAATTCCGCTGGCGTTAACCAGCAGGTTACCCTGTGATACCTTGCTAGCTTTCCTAATGCAATCTATGCCTTTCCAACTGTAGTTATTGACTGCAGCCCAATCTATGGAGATGAGCAAACTGGTGGGAATAACAGAACAGTTAACAAGGCCAGCGGTAACAATGGTGATCTACAAGTACCAAGAAACTGACAAGATGGAACTAAAGATCAGAGAACTGCAGAAATAGTTGTCAGTAACCCGAACAACAGGGAGGCAGACTGACGAATGTTTTGCTTGTGGAAGCACAGCACTCTGGCAGAGGAAAAAGCCTGAAAACGGAATGCAACAGTTTTACACAACATTATCCAACTTCTTTCTCTGGTATCTGGCATCTGAATGACGGGGTACATTTTGACTCTGGTTAAGTTTGTTTATTAAATATATCACACAGTGATGAAACAGTATTATTTACTCAATGACACAGTTTCGAACAAAACTTATTGAGGTTCATAATCATATCAATTGTGATCACAGGACTTTGAAACTTGAGTGTAATAGTTTTCTCCTATTTGTCGAAGGGGTAGTAGAATTTTCCAGATATCAGGGACAGGTGACGAATCATTCCTATCACATGTATTCGCAGTTGATTCGATAAACAAAGCTTCTGTTATCAATCTCTCCCTCCACCCAGCTGTGACATTAGATTTTAAAACTGCCATCCTATCCCATCCAGCCTATTGTATGGTTGTGTGTGATTGCATGTAATGCTATGGCTGAACTATTCTCTAGATTTCTTATCTTATTTGGGTCAGCCAGTCTAGATTTTGCTAAGTTTTTATGTTCAGCTAGTCTGACTGACTGCACCTGTTCCACTACTATTTTGACCTATGTATTTGACCTGACATCAACAACACCAACAGACCACAATAAGCATAAATGGGAAGAACCTGAAAGAAACAACCTCCTTCACCTACCTGGGAAGCATCGTCTCAACTACAGGCGGAACTGACGAGGATATCAAAACCAGAATCGGAAAAGCAAGCCAAGCTTTCATTACTCTCAAGTCTGTGTGGAGGTCAACAGCACTCAGAATCAAAAATAAGATCCGGATTTTCAACTCCAATGTGAAGTCAGTGCTACTATACGGATCAGAGACTTGGCGAGTCATAAAGAGCATCTCAAACAAACCACAGACCTTCATTAACAGCTGTCTCCGCTCAATACTCAAGATCAGATGGCCAGAAAAGATCAGCAACAGTGAGGGATCTCTGGGAGCGAATCAATCAGGAACCGATTGTGAAACAAATAGGCAGAAAGAAATGGAGATGGATTGGCCATACGCTGAGGAAACCATCAAGTGACATCACTAGACAAGCCATTGCTCGAGTGGAACCCGAAAGGGAAGCGGCGAGTTGGTCGTCAGTGGAAGGGTGACTTGGAGGAGGTCATGCGAGGAGGAGATGAAAGCATGTGGACAGACCTGGAGCAGGGTGAAAAAGTTGTCAGAAAACCGAAGTCAATGGAGGTGCGCAGCTGAAGCCCTATGTTCCTCTAGGAACTAAAGGATACAATAATAATAATTTGACCTGACAATCAACTCAGGCAGGGTATTAGATAAACTAAATTGTTTTGTTTTAAACGCTCCACAGGATTGTTCAACTGACAAAGCTTGTTTCTAATCGAGTTTGTGGGTTTGAATGCCTTGTTAACAATTCTGTGTAAGGTTTCCGAGGTTCCTTCCTTGTATGGAATTACTATTGGTGATTTAGATTCCTTATTGTTCGTGTTGTCCTTAATATTATCATCACCATTATTATTATTATCATTATTATTATTATTAATGTTATCATTATTATTATTAACACTATCGCTACTATCATTATTTATTTTATTTTTAGATTTCCTTACACATTTCATGACTAATTTATCTGGATAATTAATTAGTTTCAAGGCTTCTTTTATGTGTATCATTTCTTGTTTTAGACTTTCCATGGTACCACTAAGATTTTTGCTCTGTCAATTAAACATTTCACCAATCCTATTTTTACTGACATAGGATGGGATGATTGGAAGTCCAAACATATGTTTCAATGTGTGAGTTTTCTGTAAACACTAGTGTATGTTTGACTTCCTATCTTCTTTCCTTTCTACGCTACAATCTAACATTGGAAGTTCCCCTTCCTTCTTGACTTTTCAATTCATAAGTGAATTGAATTGTCTCTACCTTCGAGTTGATGTGTTCGAAAAATCTATCTATATCTTGTGTTTTAAGTACAGTAAATGTGTCATCTACATACCTCCACCATATTTTTGGAGTGGGGGTGAACGTCATCATCATCATCACCTGTCGCTGATATCTGGAAAATTCTACTACCCCAGTGACAACAAATAGGAGAAAACAAAGAAAACTATTAAACACAAGTTTCAAATTTGTTTGATTACAATTGATATGATTATGAAACTCAATAAATTTTGCTCGAAACTGTGTCATTGAGTAAATAATACTGTTTCATCACTGTGTGATATATCCATCTAATAAACAAACTAATATGGAATTACTTACTATAACAGTGCCCAAGTTTTACACATATATTAATCATCTTCACTGTTAAATTCACAGTCAATGACACCAAAAGAAGAGAAGTCGGTTTGTAAAATCACATACACTTTATTTACTCAAAAATAAAAAATAAAAAAAATCATTCATTCATTAACTACTTTTATCAAGGTTATTTATTATTTACACTTTCTCTTAGTAAATCAGTTAAATTTTGAGTTTTACGCAGTGTGGCATGGATTTCCCCTTTTACTTGGAAACAGATTTTTCCTTTACTGACACCATCTTGTGATTTATCCTTACTGTCCTTAGTATGCTGCATCAGTGATTGTAATTGTCTCCATGGTTGCTTCGGATAATGACAATTCACTGTAGGATAAGGCGAGGTTTGTAAATTCTGTGTACATGTAAGTATTGAAGAGATTGATATCAACTTGTATTTATAAACGTTGTCTACACATCTATCAGGACCGAGAAGTATGTAGGGACCAGTGAAATGGGGTTGTCTACAAAAGAAAACAAAAAGTAGTAGAATAATATATACATTATTGCAGATTTCAACACTCATTGGGATAAATTGATTTGCTCCGTTTGGGGAATCTATCGTTAATTAATTCAAGAGTTTCTACTGACCGGTCTCTGGGAAGCGACCAGTGTCATGCTTCTAATTCCATGTATTAGTGTGCAAACTGAATTCTCTCACTTAGGTTTACAGGATGTTCAACAAACACATTAGTCGAAACCTCTCTGAATACAATACTGTATGATACTCCTTGATAAACTAAGGGAACATAAATTCCATTGAGGTTGCAGATATAACTTACTGGCATGTCTTATCAAACGGGGAACTTACATTCAGCGTTTTAACCGTCAACTGTCTCCAACCATCTGTTGTCACTCTTATCATTATTATTAATCCGTTGCATTCCGAATGAAAAATATGACATCAACGCCGTATCATAATTTCACTCTGTGCTCTTAAGCCCTACATCCAAGAATGAACATGAGCTTCCATCTCCTGCATGTCACTCTTGAAATCATGCAAAACTGATCACCTCACATTTATGATCACCTCGAGAGTATTTAGATTACAAAAACTAAGTAGTATCAAGGAAAATTTCAGACAGTAAGTGAGGAATATAAGAGTACCTTTGAAACTTATTATTTACCCTTATAAACTATTCAGAAGTATGTAGAGAAATGTAAAGTAAAGTAAATAATATTAGTAGCGATAGCGATAATAACAATATTATTAATGACGACATGCATGTTAAACATGCAGGTGTTAATGTTAACACGAATAACGAGGAATCTAAATAATTAGTAGTAATTGCATACAAGGAAGGAACTACGGAAAACTTATACAGAATTATCAACAAGGCAGGAATGAAAATGTCTAGGATTGAAACCACCTACAAACTCATTTCGAAACAAGACTTGTCGGTTAAAGGAACAATCCTGTGGAGCCACTTAACAAAACAATTCAGTTTATCTAATACCCTGCGTGCGCTGATTGTCGGGTCAAATAGATAGGTCGAAATAGTAGCAGAACAGGTGCAGTCAGTCAGACTAGCCGAGCATAAACACCTATCAGCGAAATCTAGATTGGTTGAACCGAATAAGATAGGAAATGTATCGAGTAGTTCAGCTATAGCACTCACTACATGCAATTACACACAATCATACAATCGGACGGATGGGATAAGATGACAGATTCAACAGGTGGGTTGAGAGAGAGAGAGAGATTGATGAATGACTGAGGCTATGTTCCTCGAATAACTATAATAGGAATGATTCCACGCACGTCCAGTCGGACACTTGGATAACTCCACAACACCAGCGACAACAAATACAGAGAGAAGAGGGAAAACTACAAAGTGAAGTTTCGTAGTCGAAGTCGTGTTATTCTAATTGATATGGATATGAACAACGATAAATTATTTTCGAAAGCGTGTCATCCAATAACCAAAATTATTACACTGTCTGGTACATCAGATAAACAAAAATAAAGGGAACATATTTTAGCTGCATGAATCCTACTAGGTTTATCTCTTATCACATGTTCACGAGTTTCTAAGTATATGACCTTACTTCACACAAGAGTATAAATTGGTTGACGATAAATGCCGTTTCACGTATTCGAAAGCCAGATGACACTAACTCATATGTTATTAACTCTGCTCACTGTACTCGTTGCTCTCATTGTCTTAACTCTGCAAACAGCGATCAACACAACTGAAATATACACCAATACTACTGAGGAATACTCGAATTCATTTGGAACCTACGCCAATACAACCACCAAAGCACCACACAACGATTCCCTCACAGCACACCCGAATTCACACTTACTACAAGGTCTGTATTTACAACTTCAGTGTCTTCGATTGTACAGTGAAGTGAATCGGAGAGGTTATTGGTCTGATATGTGCGACAGTAATGAAGCCCTGTCACCATTGCAAGTGTGGAATACAAGATCGTTGTGCTCACCAGGATATCAGCTGCACGGTAGATCGAGCTATTGGTTGATATATGAGTAAGTTTGCACAGTTGTGATTATGTTAACTTTAATGTGAGAATGTGATCATTTCCTTCGAGTAGATTATTTGATGATAGTGTAAGGTGATTTTCATTGTTGTCACCAAGTATGCACCTAGTTATAATATTTCATATGAGCTTATAATGAGGAAAGTGCTTCGGCATGTCTGAGTCCCAGAGAGCTTCACCAACCTCGTTCAACAGCTATATGGTGACGATGCGAATCATGAGTACGAGTACATAGTCTCACGTTGGACCAACAAGAGGACTTCGGAGCACTATATATATGTCTAATATCACACAAACTCAAGGAACTACAGGTGAAGCAAGGCAAGTGGGATGAACAGGCTGGAGGTGAAAACTTGACATGCTTGAAATTCTCATCAATAGTCGCCTTAGCCTGCTCTCGATACCGAAGATGAGATGGCGAGAAGACATGAGCAACAAAGAGCTCTGAAAATAAACCACAGACGGAGCTATTACCCACAATATATTTGGAGGAAAACTGAGTTGGATTGGACACAGGCTAATAAGACGATTGACTGGAATGGTGGGTTCGGCGACGTCTAGGGTAACATAGTGTTGATGACAGTGGACTAACAAAGAGAGAGCTGAAGACCACTGAAGAAAACAGGGCAGTATAGAGATCTGTTGTTTAATTACGTGAACATTTGCTGACAAGGATGACAATCACCTTACACTATCATCAAATAATCTACTCGAAGGAAATGATCACATTCTCACATTAAAGTTAACATAATCACAACTGTGCAAACTTACTCATATATCAACCAATAGCTCGATCTACCGTGCAGCTGATATCCTGGTGAGCACAACGATCTTGTATTCCACACTTGCAATGGTGACAGGGCTTCATTACTGTCGCACATATCAGACCAATAACCTCTCCGATTCGCTTCACTGTACAATCGAAGACACTGAAGTTGTAAATACAGACCTTGTAGTAAGTGTGAATTCGGGTGTGCTGTAAGGGAATCGTTGTGTGGTGCTTTGGTGGTTGTATTGGCGTAGGTTTCAGATGAGTCGGAGTACTCCTCAGTAGTACTGATGTATTTTTCAGTTGTATTGATCGCTGTTTGCAGAGTTGAGACAGCGAATCCAGTGAGCACAATCAATAACATATGAGTTAGTATCATCTGGCTTTCGAATACGTGAAAGGGCATCTATCGTCAACCAATTTATACTCTTGTATGAAGTTAGGTCATATACTTAGAACATGTGATAACAGATAAACTAAATGGTTCTAAACACAGGTTAAATAGATATTAGAAGAGGTGAACTACGTGTACATTTGTGTGTCACTACAGTCATATTAGTAGTAATGACATAATTTCCATTCTTTATCCATATGAAACGTGATTATGCATGCAATGGAAGTAGGTTGTTGTATTATGCCGTAATTAATCGTATTCATCCATCCAGAGGATGTTACAAATTCGTTTGTTTACCAGGTGTATCAAGCAGTGAAACAGTGTTTTGTATTGGATGACACAGTTTCGAACAAAATTTATCATGGTTCATAATCACATCAATTGATTACTACGTTACATTAACGTAGTTACAGTAATATCTTAATTCTGTGGAGTTTCTTGCCAAAAAGTTGCAAAAATTATTGCAATTATTCGCTTTTCAAAAACTGAATCTGTGGATATAATATTGTTGACCGATAATACCTATAGCTTTCTGTTTGCCACTTTGTGCTTGTATAACACTAACTAATATCTATAATTGTATATATTGATGGGTTTACATGTTCAGGTTGGCTTATGTCAGTGAGTCTATGATTTTGGTATCATTTTGGTTAACTGTACCTGACTGTGACATTACTACTAAGGTGTTTTCATTATTGTTGTTGTCGTTTGTTGCCATTCTTGTTGTGAATTATTTTCCTTTTGCTGATGTTATTCTGATTGTTTTATTCCTTGTTTTCCGATTTTAAGAGGAGCAACCCACGAGGTCGTTCTTTTCTAAACTTTATCTTAATGTAACCATTCCTTTCTCAGGCCTGAGGCTGGCAACCCCACCTGTAAACAAAGTCGCTACAGAAGCTTCAGTATGATGAGTCTCCTTGTGCCAAAAGAAAAAGTCCGTGTGGGGATATGGAATGTCCACACCATGTACGAGATTGGCAAAGCTGCTCAGATCGGAAACGAAATGAAAAGATCCGGAATTCAAGTACTGGGGATATGTGAAAGCAGATGGAACGGGAATGGACTCACCAAATTGTCAACGGGAGAGTCAGTGATCTACTCCGGTCACTCAGAATATAACCACACGCACACCAAGGGCGTGGCTATCATGATTTCATCAATGGCAATGAAGGCCCTAATGCAATGGGAGGCGACCTCGTCCAGGATAATGACACACCGACAGATTCAACTCCAAAGGAATGAAAGTGTCAATTATACAATGTTATGCACCCACAAACAACGCAGACCTCGAAAAGAAAGAAGAATTCTACGGACAACTACAGGCAACAATGGACAATACTCCAGCTGGTGACATTGAAATACCAATAGGAGACATGAACGTCAAACTGAGACCAGGCAACACAGGAAGGGAACTCATCATGGGTAGAGAAGCTCTCGAAGAACTGAATGAAAATGGAGAACTCTTCGCCGACTTCTACGCCTTCAATGAACTAGTGATTGGTGGAGGTGTATACAAACACAAAGATATCCAGAAGGCTACATGGGTGTCACCAGATGAGCGAACCGAAAACCAAATCGACTTCATCCCAATGCTACTCAAGGAAGTGGAGGCGAAGCCTACTGGACACAAAAGTAAGAAAAGGAGCAGACGTTGGCTCACACAACTACCTCGTACAAGGGACAATCCAAATCAAATTAAAAACTTTCAGAGAATCAGGAGCTGTAGACAGACCACAAGCCAATTTCAACACTCAAAAACTGAAGGACCAGGCTACAAAGGACATCTTCATTGCAAG